AGGGTTACTTTCATTAAAAAATTGTCCCTGTTCAGTGTGGACGGTGTCCAATTCTATGGAGTGCAAACTTAAACCTCTTCGACTTCCTTCCTCATGCAACCAAAAAAGAAGCGCCGTTTAGACTTAAACTCTAAATGATGTTACACTCTCGGAACTTTTGGTTTACTATCAACCCAAAGAGCATTTCAAAATTTTAGAGAACCTCAGAAAAGGCCCCGGCCCAAATTTTTACAGGGAAATGGGATGAATGGATATTTTTCATCAGGGTTGTCAGGTAGATCCAGTTATTTATTTATATAACCTTGACATTTTGTTGTTTTTAATAGATGACAAGTTATAAATGGTGTTGATTTCATTGTCTAAGAGGTCACAAAAGAGAATTCATTTATTGCCCCTCAACTTTGTATTGCTAGAAGAGCTGCCTTCATGCAGCATTTACAATCCATTATATTTGATAGCCCATCCGTGTAGGGTTGAAATTTGAGGGGAGAGCCAAGTGGGTGTGCGATAGACTTACCTCCACGTGGTGCACCCTGGAAATATGCCTTCACTATCAACATCTTATTTGGAAGCGGAGGGGTGTGTGCGATAGACTTACCTCCACGTGGTGCACCCTGGACAGCGTGCGATAGACTTACCTCCACGTGGTGCACCCTGGGCAACTTTCAACCCTTGCTGGTTTTCTAAACAATTATTCTTAAGAATACGATAGACTTACCTCCACGTGGTGCACCCTGGACAACGTACTTTCAAATGGCAGGCGTTATGATAGGTATCATGGGGTGTGCAATAGACTTATAAACTTACCTCCACGTGGTGCAGCCTGGGCAACGTATACCCATACGGCCTCCACGTGGTGCACCCTGGCCAACGTATAATCATACGGTCTTACCTCCACGTGGCGCACCCTGGGCAATGTATACTACACCTTACCTCCACGTGGTGCACCCTGGGCAACGTATTCTCATTCGGCTACCTCCACGTGGTGCACCCTGGGCAATGTATACTCATACACCTCCACGTGGTGCACCCTGGGCAACGTATACTCACGATAGACTTACCTCCAGGTGGTGCACCCTGGACAACGTATACTCAAACGGCACGTGGTGCACCCTGGGCAACGTATACTCATACGGCTCCACGTGGTGCACCCTGGGCAACGTTTACTCATACGGCTCCACGTGGTGCACCCTGGGCAACGTATACTCATAAGGCACACGTGGTGCACCCTGGGCAACGTATACTCATACGGCAAACAAACGTGGTGCACCCTGGGCAACGCATACTCATACGGCAAAATGTGGTGCACCCTGGGCAACGTATACTCATAAGGCAAAAAGATCCCTATTAACCGGCAGTTGACTTCTGACTTCAAACTACCATACTATTAACTGGCAGTTGACTTCTCACTTCAAACTACCATCTATTAACCGGCAGTTGACTTCTGACTTCAAACTACCATGAGTACACCCTGGGCAACGTATACTCATGCGACAAAAAAGTCTAAACGTGGTGCACCCTGGGCAACGCATACTCATACGGCAAAATGTGGTGCACCCTGGGCAACGTATACTCATAAGGCAAAAAGATCCCTATTAACCGGCAGTTGACTTCTGACTTCAAACTACCATACTATTAACTGGCAGTTGACTTCTCACTTCAAACTACCATCTATTAACCGGCAGTTGACTTCTGACTTCAAACTACCATGAGTACACCCTGGGCAACGTATACTCATGCGACAAAAAAGTCTAAAATACGGGGTGTGCGATAGACTTACCTCCGTGATATATTTAATGAATGGGGTGTGCGATAGACTTACCTCCACGTTGTGCGAAAACTTACCTCCACGTGGTGCCAAATAGCAATGTGGGGTGTGCGATAGACTTACCTCCACGTGGTACGCCCTGGGCAATGTATACTCATACGGCAAAAAAGTCTATTAAATGGCTTGGAAACGTGACCCATACGGCTACCTCCACGTGGTGCACCCTGGGCAACGTGTACTTACAACCTCCATGTGGTGCACCCTGGGCAACGTATACTTATGCGGAAAAAAGTCTATTGACTGGTACTTCAAACTGCCCACGTGGTGCACCCTGGGCAACGTATACTCATACGGCAAACAAACTGGTGCACCCTGGGCAACGTATACACGGCAAAAGAGTCCGTGGTGCACCCTGGGCAACGTACACTCACACCTTACCTCCACGTGGTGCACCCTGGGCAACGTATTCTCATTCGGCTACCTCCACGTGGTGCACCCTGGGCAATGTATACTCATACACCTCCACGTGGTGCACCCTGGGCAACGTATACTCACGATAGACTTACCTCCAGGTGGTGCACCCTGGACAACGTATACTCAAACGGCACGTGGTGCACCCTGGGCAACGTATACTCATACGGCTCCACGTGGTGCACCCTGGGCAACGTTTACTCATACGGCTCCACGTGGTGCACCCTGGGCAACGTATACTCATAAGGCACCACGTGGTGCACCCTGGGCAACGTGTACTCATACGGCAAGTAAGTCTATTAACTGGCAGTTGACTTCTGAGTTCAAGCTATCTTACCTCCACGTGGCGCACCCTGGGCAATGTATACTACACCTTACCTCCACGTGGTGCACCCTGGGCAACGTATTCTCATTCGGCTACCTCCACGTGGTGCACCCTGGGCAATGTATACTCATACACCTCCACGTGGTGCACCCTGGGCAACGTATACTCACGATAGACTTACCTCCAGGTGGTGCACCCTGGACAACGTATACTCAAACGGCACGTGGTGCACCCTGGGCAACGTATACTCATACGGCTCCACGTGGTGCACCCTGGGCAACGTTTACTCATACGGCTCCACGTGGTGCACCCTGGGCAACGTATACTCATAAGGCACCACGTGGTGCACCCTGGGCAACGTGTACTCATACGGCAAGTAAGTCTATCACGTGGTGCACCCTGGGCAACGTATATTCATACGGCAAAAACTGGTGCACCCTGGGCAACGTATACACGGCAAAAGAGTCCGTGGTGCACCCTGGGCAACGTACACTCACACCTTACCTCCACGTGGTGCACCCTGGGCAACGTATTCTCATTCGGCTACCTCCACGTGGTGCACCCTGGGCAATGTATACTCATACACCTCCACGTGGTGCACCCTGGGCAACGTATACTCACGATAGACTTACCTCCAGGTGGTGCACCCTGGACAACGTATACTCAAACGGCACGTGGTGCACCCTGGGCAACGTATACTCATACGGCTCCACGTGGTGCACCCTGGGCAACGTTTACTCATACGGCTCCACGTGGTGCACCCTGGGCAACGTATACTCATAAGGCACACGTGGTGCACCCTGGGCAACGTATACTCATACGGCAAACAAACGTGGTGCACCCTGGGCAACGCATACTCATACGGCAAAATGTGGTGCACCCTGGGCAACGTATACTCATAAGGCAAAAAGATCCCTATTAACCGGCAGTTGACTTCTGACTTCAAACTACCATACTATTAACTGGCAGTTGACTTCTCACTTCAAACTACCATCTATTAACCGGCAGTTGACTTCTGACTTCAAACTACCATGAGTACACCCTGGGCAACGTATACTCATGCGACAAAAAAGTCTAAACTGGTGCACCCTGGGCAACGTATACACGGCAAAAGAGTCCGGGTGCACCCTGGGCAACGTATACTCATACAGCAAAAATCCTCCACGTGGTGCACCCTGGCCAACGTATAATCATACGGTCTTACCTCCACGTGGCGCACCCTGGGCAATGTATACTACACCTTACCTCCACGTGGTGCACCCTGGGCAACGTATTCTCATTCGGCTACCTCCACGTGGTGCACCCTGGGCAATGTATACTCATACACCTCCACGTGGTGCACCCTGGGCAACGTATACTCACGATAGACTTACCTCCAGGTGGTGCACCCTGGACAACGTATACTCAAACGGCACGTGGTGCACCCTGGGCAACGTATACTCATACGGCTCCACGTGGTGCACCCTGGGCAACGTTTACTCATACGGCTCCACGTGGTGCACCCTGGGCAACGTATACTCATAAGGCACCACGTGGTGCACCCTGGGCAACGTGTACTCATACGGCAAGTAAGTCTATCACGTGGTGCACCCTGGGCAACGTATACTCATACGGCAAACAAACTGGTGCACCCTGGGCAACGTATACACGGCAAAAGAGTCCGTGGTGCACCCTGGGCAACGTACACTCACACCTTACCTCCACGTGGTGCACCCTGGGCAACGTATTCTCATTCGGCTACCTCCACGTGGTGCACCCTGGGCAATGTATACTCATACACCTCCACGTGGTGCACCCTGGGCAACATATACTCATACGGCAAAAAAGTCTATTAACTGGCAGTTGACTTCTGGCCTCAAGCTACCATGACTCCGCTGTATGTCATGTTTGACTACTTCCCCATTACTCGCCTCACCTTTTTCCAACCTTTGCGTCTCTCTCTTACAAATTTGAAACACTCTTCTATTCCACCCCCCCCCCCCCCCACTCTCGACTTTTTTCACTCTGATGTTCCTTCCCCTCTCTGAAGCCTGAAGTCAACTAAAGGGCTAATGATAACTATCAAAACGCCTGCCATTTGATATAAATAAATAAATACATTGATAATTTAATAAAAACGAGTGTGTAGAATGTTGTTATAACGCTCTATAATTGAAACCCACTTACCTTTATCTTATTTCTACTTCTCATAATTTTACTAATAAAATAACAATTTTGTTTGCCTAAATTTTAATATTTCTGATGTTTAATTTCTTCATTAAAACTGAAAACTTAATCGAAGTATTGGTTTTGCTACTACTATACACGCTTAAGGCAATTTTTACGCCAGTTTAATTAACTTTATTAATTCATTAAAAGGTAAAGTATGCAGTTAAAGCAAATTCAAGTATATTTAAGTAAAAAATAAGTGTCATGGTCAAATGTCTATCAATAATTTCAAAATCTTTCAGCTCTGATTTCCCGAGGTTTTGAATGACTTTTCTCTGGGGCGTTGGCTCTTTGGTCTTTAATTCTAGAGGTGCTTGTGCTGCTGCTGCTGCTACTGCTACTGCTACTGCTACTACTGCTGGAAGTTGTCACCTCGGAATCTGAGTCTGAATCAGAGTCAGAAGAACTAGATGAGGAAGTAGAGGAAGAATCTGATTCTGAGTCGGAAGAACAGAAAGTGCTACATGAGGTAGAGTCTGAAGACTCGGAGCTTGATGAGCTAGAGGTAGAGGTGGAGCTGGAACTAGATATGTCTGAATCTTTCGCTGAATTTGAGATAGCAAACGATGTTTCTAATTTAATTCCTGCCTTTTCATTGTTAGATTGCTTAGAAACTGGTCGAACTTTTGTCGAACTAGAAGCCACCAGGGATGCTGCAGCTGCCTCATTTTTACTTGAACGACTAGTTGAGGGTGCATTTGGCATTGAAGAATTTAGTGTGGCCTTGGAATCTTTAGATTGCGAATTATTACTGGCAATTCGTTCCCATTGTTCTTTTACACTGCGAAAAGATGTTGGTTTAGCATCAACGGCATCTGATATTGGTTTGGCAGTGCTAACACCAGACTCAGGAGGGGCTCGGGGGATTTCTTTTGCACTGAAAGATCTCTTATTGTCAGACGAATTTTCGGTACTCTGAGCAGAAAGAGGGACATGAATTGGCATGAACTTCTTATTTAGAATTCCCACAATAAGTTTAGGTTCAGGCTTCTGATCTTGAGTTGGTGTTTTGAGTTGAGGAGCTGCATTTCTCGTAGCTTCGAGTAAAGAGTTGGATGAAATACTTTGGTTTGGCTCACTCCGTTTACATTCATCGTCGGAAGTATCTGAATTTGTTGATAACACTGTCGGTTCTTCCTGCCGCATCTTAAGACTCGTTGATGACAAATCCGACGAGAGGTTATTGGCAACGGGGGAAGAATTTCGAATTTCCATCAAATTCATTTCATGCGCAACAACTTTATCTTCAACAACAGCAGACAGTTCATTGTCACTAGCTCTCTCTTCTTTTTTAATACCTTCATTGAAAGTATTCAGTTTGGGAGCAGGATTTAAATACTCCTGTTTTAAGTTGGAGCTTGCATATTCAGTCGCATAAATCTCATTGTTCAGCACTTGCGAGTCTGAATTGCCATATTCGTTTTCTCTTTCTCCCACTTTCTCAATGTTTTGGTTATCTTCACCTGCATCTGAGCAAGCAACGGGCTGTTTTGCATTAGAGAGGACAGGTTGTGTCCTTTTTTCACCTTTGCTTGAACGACTATTTGAGGATTGATTTGATAATAAAGAAACTAGTGCGGCCTTGAAATCTTCCGATTGCGAATTATTATCGTCAATTCGTTCCCACTGTTCTTTTACATTGCCAAAAGATGTTGGTTCAGCATCAACGGCATCTGATATTGGTTTGGCAGTGCTAACACCAGACTCAGGAGGGGCTCGGGGGATTTCTTTTGCACTAAAAGATCTCTTATTGTCAGACGAATTTTCAGTACTCTGAGCAGAAAGGGGGACATGAATTGGCATGAACTTCTTTTTTAGAATTCCCACAATAGGTTCCGGTTCAGGCTTCTGATTTTGAGTTGGTGCTTTGATTTGAGGAGTCAATTTATTTCGCTCCGTCGAATCAGTATGTGTGGAAGAAGGCGGTTTTGTTACCTTAATGTATTCATTGTCCTCAAGTGAGCTTAAATCATCTGAAGGGGGTGCAGTTGTTGGTACGGTAGCTAAGACACCAGCATTATTTAGTTTTTTGACTAGTAGGGAATTTTTCTCAGAAGGTCCCTCTTCTACCTCTCTAGACGAATGTGCATTTTCTGTTAATGATTCGTTAACATAAGGAGCTGCATTTCTCGTAGCTTCGAGTAAAGAGTTGGATGAAATACTTTGGTTTGGCTCACTCCGTTTACATTCATCGTCGGAAGTATCTGAATTTGTTGATAACACTGTCGGTTCTTCCTGCCGCATCTTAAGACTCGTTGATGACAAATCCGACGAGAGGTTATTGGCAACGGGGGAAGAATTTCGAATTTCCATCAAATTCATTTCATGCGCAACAACTTTATCTTCAACAACAGCAGACAGTTCATCGTCATTAGCTGCATCTTCTTTTTCAATACCTTCATTGAAAGTATCCAGTTTGGGATCAGGATTTAAATACTCCTGATTTAAGTTGGAGCTTGCATATTCAGTCGCATAAATCTCATTGTTCAGCACTTGCGGGTCTGAATTGCCATATACGTTTTCTCTTTCTTCCTCTTCCTCAATGTTTTGGTTATTTTCACATGCATCTGAGCAAGCAACGGGCTGTTTCGCATTAGAGAGGACCGGTTGTGTCCTCTTTTCACTTTTGCTTTTTTTAAATAAAGTTGAGCTTCCTTTAGCCTTTTTCACAGCTTTGAGTTTCGTGCCCTTCTCATTATTTTTATCATGATGCTGGGATTTAGGCTTTTGGTCCTTTTTGTCTTTTTTCTCACGTGATTTGTTCTTTAATTTTTCAATGAACTTTATTGGCATTTTGATAGAAGTACCTAAGTTTAACAGAATCAAAGTAAATGATTATATGAATTATTTAATTTGCTTTCCTCAAGATATAACTTACTTATGCAGATATTGTTCTTGTATCCTAAATTTAAAGAAATCCTTTAAAGTTAGAACAAGAAGCTATTGTAATTAATTAATTTTAAAATCGATTAACTTAAACAAAGCTTAAGGTAATATTTTTATAATAAAATAAGTAATATTTAAGTTTTCATTTGAATTTACCAGGCTTAATTTAATATTTTTGCTTATTTAGATATAGACATATTGACAGATATATGCTTGTTATGTATTAAATCAAAATATTTTTGTCCAGTTGCTTAAATAGGCTTACTAAGTGGTCGCATTTGAAAAAAACATCGCCTGATTTACTAGTAATCAAAATTTTTCATATTTTAACCAGTCCATTTAAATAAATAATACTTAGAATGAGTTTAGAAATGTAATTTATTTGCAAACTAATGAACATTCAATGCATTTAAAAGATTTTTCGCTCTCGACAAATGTTATTGGCAACTGTAATGGTAGTCAGGCGTAATTTAACAAACATTTTGAGAGATTCCAGAAAAAATAATCTTTAGAATGAAATTTTGCGTACCATATTTAAGCATTTATTTGTTGACTAACTAAAAGATTGTAGCATTACTTGGATCTTCATCATGAAGTTGGTCAATGATATGGTCTATTTGACTGATTTCTTGTTTGGTTGAATGAGAATATTATATTCTTCAGACATTAGATCGCTTCTCCTCAATTGCGAGATGGAATTATCATATCAGAACGAATCTGTAGTTGGCATTGATACTACATGTTATTTGGGCGAAATGTAACTTTCTTATAGCTCATCCGAAAATTCACATTTAGCTTGTTATGGATATTTTTCAATTATGTCAATATTAGAATGTACGATAGAAAGTTTGAGATTATAAAAGGATTACCTAAGGTTTGGATCTAAACAAGGGAGAATAATCATCCTAAATTCGTCAACTCCGTACAGTATCTCCTGGAATTATTTTGAGGTTTATATTACGCTTAAATTCATTTTGATTCTTATTGCCTCATATAGAACACAGTGTTGGCAACTCCCTATTTGTTATCGAGATAATAATATTATGCTACTTTAAATTTCTGAGTAGCAATTTATTAATTATTTTGCTCATTAATTCACTCAGACCTATTTAAACCAATAATGGTTACACGGTAAAAAGGGCAATATTTAGCTTTTATTCATGCACAATTGAATATAGACGTTTTCTTAGCCTAGGTAGGTAAATACCTCCGTGCTTTGCAATAAGCCGATGAAGTTTATCTATCCATGTTTTAATGAACACGTTTTTAATCATAAGTAGCAGTGACTTTAAAAATTCTCTAACTGGGTCATTATCATTGCGTGCAAAAGTTGTTAATTACCACCAAGTTCCAGTAAGACTATGAGATTCTTGCTGATATTTATTTAAATTTTCTCTAATTAAAGCGCAATAATCAGATTAGCTAATAAACATTCAAAGTAGTTTTTATTGTACTGCATAGCTATATTAACAGCAGGACCAAATGAGACTAAATTTCTATCTACATAATCTTTCACGTTCTTAAAACTGAAAGGCTGCAGCAGCCTTGCTCAGGTTAGATAAATGTACATTGAGGTGTTAGAAGTGAATGGAAAATGAGAATGGAGTAAGTAGAGGAATTGAGAGGAAAAAGAAAGCGCATAAGTGTTAAGCTAGGACAATCCGGTAATATAAAGAATGGGAGAGATGAAGTACTATATGGCGAGTGGCCAATTTCCCATTTTTTATTTTTTCTTAGCCAATTAGAAAGTAAAGTGCATAGTTGATGCGTAAAGCAACCCTGTTTCATCGTGCACAGGTGAAGGAAAAGAAAATCCGTAGGAAATTCATTAATTATCGAGGGTGTAAAAAGGAAAATAATAAACATGAATTGAGATGAAGTGTCAATTCATCAGTGTCTTTATTTGTACTGTTTCCAAAGCGTTTCTATATTTATGAGTTACTACTGCTATCAATTCAGTAAAATTTATATGGGCTTTTCCTATAGAATACTCAAATTGTCCAAGAATTGCCTAACATTTCATTCAATCCTATAACAGTCTTTTTATTTTTAAATAAGGAATTGAAGTAGACTAAGGAGGTAGCCTTATCTGGCATTGGAGTTGCGGCTGCCAAGACGTGACACAAGAATAGGAGAAAGAGTAAGTCACTGAGACAACCTAGTTGCGGGTACACTCGACCACACAGTCCCATATGGAATGAATATCACTTCTTCCCACCTTTCTACCTTCTAAATTTTTTTTAAATATTCATCCTTCCCTTAACTTAATGACCTTTATAAATATTACCTTACTTAAGAGATAATAAATACTTTATAATTGGCTACCGGAGGTGTGCGGTAGACTTACCGCCACGTAGTGCACTCTGGGCAACGTATGTTCATACGGCAAAAAAGTCTATTATCGGCAGTTGACTTCTCATTTCAAACTACCATGTCCCCACCATATATCATATTCCACCACTTTCACAGTACTCACCTTACCTATTCCCCCTACCTTGTGTCTGTCTGTCTCTTACATCTTTGACTCCCTCTTCCGTTCCTCCCTCTCGATTTTTTTCACTTTGATATTCCTCCCTTCTATGAAGCCCGAAATCAACTAGAGGGCTAATGATAAATATCATAAAGCCTGCCATTTGATATAAATAAATAATTGGCTAACGCTGTCCACAAGATCCAACAGCGAACAAATCATGCTCTACCGATTTTGGCAGTTGACGTGACTGCGAGCTAAGAAATTAGCTAATTTTTTGTGTGTATACGCCTCCCATTTTCCCGCGCACTATTAGATAACTCGTGACTGGTGATTCACGCATGATTTTTGCGTTACTTAGTTCGCTTCACTAATCCGAATTAATAGCCTTGTCAGGCATTTTGTCAAATGCAACTAAGGGTCTATTAGTTACACAGCTCTGTTAATTAATTTATATATTTATTTGAGCCAAGAAGAACATTTGTGAATTCTAAACTCTGTTAATAGTGTCATAGAAACGTTTTGTCAGGGTAGTGTTGTAGGCTAGCACATCTATCAGTCACATCTTTGTACATTTATAATAAAGTGGCTTATTTCACCAAAAAAATTTAGAAATATTTACTGTCTTTGAGTCGAGCATTTGTCAACCGAAATTGAGTGCTAAAATTACTCAAAATTCACCAATTATAGCAAATAAAACCAGGGCTCATAGACGACATTGAACTCCTCTTTCAGTCTTAAACATTTGATTAAATCACATATAACTGACCCTTATCTTGCAAACATGCAGCACATACACTGCATTTGCTTTCACGCAACCTGCATCTACCCCTGTAGTTTCCTGAAATATTCCATTCACCATTGCCCTCCCTTCATCAAGATAACAGTAGCTCGCAGCCAGATGTATTGGTCTTCACCCCTCACACTTTCATGATTCCGCCTGGATCTTTTCATAAATAGACGTCTTCATCGTCATTCGCATTGATGAAAGGAGTTACCTTTATTCAAAATAACCAAAACTTCCGTCACATCACGAACTATTCTCCCCCCCCCCCCAACATCAGTACCTTCGTCCATGCGATCTTGGTGTATGGTCTAGTATATCATCAGTGCTATCATGTTTGGCGCTGTTGTCTCAGTAGCACCGCTGAACTAATGCCTCGGTGCTACCGAAATCAACTAGGTCAGAGGTCACGGCTTTGGTGACCATTGGAGAAATTCCTGTGAGATAAATGGTTAAACGATCCGGTGAGATTTGTCAAATGAAGGGGCGATAGAACAACAGAAGCTTCACTAAACTGACTAGAGAGTTATTAGACTAATTGTTGTTTTCATTTCCTATCAATTTGGGAAGGGTTGCTTTACCACCTTGAAATCTTATTTTTAATAAATTGAAAAAAATTATGAAGTTCTGCACGAATTATCTATTTCCCCTGCCTTCAAATTAGTAAAAAAATAATCCTATTCATATTCCATAGACTATTTCCTTCGCGAAAAGATAAAAATTTACAGCCATTTCCAAACAGCATAATTTTTTAGTAAAACCGGATGGGGATTTGATTGTAAATGGCATGCGAATCTTGGATAGAGCAGCAGACGTAGATTTATTCAATTGGTCAAGGCATTGGAATATGACCATACATTCAATTGACAAAAGAACTAAGGCAATCCAAAAAGCGCGCGTATTTACCGAAGATATGAATCTAAATCTAATTAGGTTCAGAAGAAGTCAAAATCGATATCTTAGGGGTTAAGTAAAACCAACATCAACATTAAGTAGATTTCCAACCGATTCGACTATTTTCAAATATCTGATACTAGACAACTTTGAGCGCAAAGAAAATACCAAGTCATGCAATGGCCTCCATGTTAATTGAAAGCAATGTAAAGAGAGAAGACTACCAAACTGCCGACTTAAAGGTGATGATTATTGACGGCTTTAACCAGAAGCCCATATAGAGCATAGTTAGCCTTCATACATTTCACAACCTATTAAGGTAAAAGAGATGGAAGGCTGGGTTGCAAATAAACTGGTTATTAGACAGAGAGCTGAAAATGTGATTAAATACTGTAAGTCTTTTATTTTTCCCGCTTTCATTATCTTATTTTTTCGATTTCATGTTGTATCCAGTGTTATCTTTCAAGCTGATTTTAAATAAAAAATCATTAAGAGGAGGCAAGCATAGATACTTGTTTGGCGAATTTCTTTTTTTTCAAGATGTGAACCTTCTCTCCCTCCCTCCCTCCCTCCCTCCCTCCTCCTCTCTCGGCGTGGGGCCCCTTTTTGGCTGGAGGCTGAAACTCGCATCGCCTTGGCAACAAATAACCAATATCTAAAGTGTTAAATTTTCAAAGCTAAAATTTTGTAAATCCTGCTCGGAATCAAATCTCTCCAAATTTCATCCTCCACTGCATATAAAATTAAATATCCGCCTGC